ATCAAATTAGGCCAATAAATTATTCATGTAAATAAAAAATACTTTAGTTCCACTCCTTTTCTTTGCTAGTTTTTGAAGTTATGAAAGTATATTACAATCTGAATTGCAGACACTAATCATTAAATTAAGAAGGATTTCTCGAGTAAGAGGAAAAAGAAACACTGTGATAGATATGCTAAACACAAAAAAAGTTACTAAACTCTTAGTAGACAACTCAAATGAAAGGCCACAGTTTAGTTTTAATGCTTGTTTAGTTCTTTTCTTTGTTATATTTGATAATAGAAAAAATAAAGATAATTTACCAAATGAGGCTAGTAGATTATTCATGTAAATAAAAAATGCTTTGGTTCCACTCCTCCCTCTCTTTGTTAGTTTCTAATATTAAAACAAGTGTATTACAATTTGAATTGCAAACATTAATCATTAAGTTAAGAAGGGTTTCTTGAGTAAAAGGAAAAAGAAACAGTGTGATGGATAACTTAGACACAAAAGGAGTTACTAAAGTCCTAGTAGACAACCCAAGGGTAGCTCTAATTTGTTGGGAAGGAGGCCATGATCCTCCTATAGGATAGTTTTCTAGTTGGGACGGTAATTTGTGGATGAAGACTATTGATTGCTGTAATCCCTTCTCTCACTAAAGCTTGATGTGGCGGTTAAGAAAGTCTAACAATTTTAAAGGTGCAAAAGGGTTTTCTTTTAGCTTTGTATATGTTACTATAGTGATTGTGAAGATAATCTTCAAGTATAGGTGACTCTTTGTACTAATTGTTATTATTTATTTTGGATATAATTTTCATTTATATTTAGTGTTATAGATTATAGCTTCAATTTGGCTTTAAGTGTCTTTATAAAGGGATTCATATATAATTTATTTTGGATTAATGATCTCTATTTCTCATTAATAAAAAAGGGGAGAGTTTTTTTGGTCATGGAGAAGAGCTCATCTATCTAATGGTCGGTATTTTATAGTTTAGATTACAAAATGTTCGATTTTTTTGAAATTTGTAGTTGTCAATCTCTAAATTGTGATGATCCCATCCACTTATCTATGTTTTCCCCCGCCCCCCTTTTTTCGCTATGTAATATCCTTGACCAAGTAAGGGTTTCACGAGGAATGCTTCAATTAACTTCCCACAACCTCCTCCTTAATCCAGTTGCTGGGGAGGAAACTTCAAATACTTTCTCAAGGAAACAGAAGAGAATAAGAATCTGAGGACATAAAATAGTAATCACATTATTTCCCAGAAATATAACGGCCATAAACGGGATAAATTCTAGTGTATTCCCATCATATATATGTTTGCTTTGTCAAGTTTTCACTAGCTTAATATAAATGAAGATATAACAGAAGTGTTTATACCATAAATTACAATGGATAAGGTAAAATTAAATCCACTGAAGGGATGCATATCTGTAAAGTTGGGCACGCCTGCATTTAGATTTCATACGTGCAAAACCATTTGAGAATTTTTTAAAAAGCAAGAAGATTAAGTTTTGTTTTCTCCCGTCTAGTGTATTCCCATGATATATATGTTTGCTTTGTCAAGTTTTCATTAGTTTACAAAGGAAGATGATAACAAAAGACTAGGTTTCATTTGTTGGTACTTCGCACAAAATTTTTTTACACAGCACTTGATTAAAAATATAAAATTATAATTTTTAATTAATTTTAATATATATTTTTATTATTTTTAATAAATATATATTTTTTATAATAACAAAGAAAAAAAAAAAAAATTTACAATTACAACACATTATAACACCGACAAACAAAGGCAAAACCATACATAAAGAACAAACACAGGAACTGGTGCTTGCAATTTGGGTGGAAGAAAAGAAAACTGGTCCCAGGTCTGAATCCAAACCATATGAATTTCTAGATCCAATGTATTGAAATTTGGTGTCCATTTTCTTTCTTTGGGACAATCATTATTGGAACGGGGAAACACTAAAATCACATAAAACCAGATCGAATATTAAATATCAATAAATATAAAATATATAAAATTTCAATTCTTGTATTTTGGGCCGAGCCATGTTATATTAATAGATAAAAGCAACCCAAAAAGGTTCTATTATCAAAAGGGTTTAGACTTTGGACTTGGGTTGGGCCCTGAGTCAACTTGCCAAGTCAAAAAGAGCAGCATTAAATATTTCATTAATTAAAAACACCAACTTGTGCAAACAAACTATATGTGGCTAAAGACTAATGGTCAATAAGTGAAAAGAAAAGGGATGGCGCACAGGGCAGAGGAAGAATCTCTGGCGTCACATCTCAGAAAATAAGATTTGGAGAGTAACTAACTATACCCACGTTGAGCTAATAAAAAGCAAAAATTTAAAGGGAAATTCAGAAGAGAGCAGCTTCCAAAACCATAGCATTCAAGCACTTCTTTCTCACCGACACAATGCTTAGGCATTGTTGGAAAAAAAAAATGCAAATTATTGTCCTGGATCCTAACTTGCATGGGAGATTCAAATGTTGGCAAATAGAATTCCTGTTTTTAGATGCAACTGCTACAATTGGTACGACAGAACTTAATCTGAATGTTGTTTTCCCTACAAAAGCATTGAATATTTTCTGCCTAGCTTTGAAATAGTAATATAGAACCACATAGTTTAGAGCTTCATTCTGTGGCCAAGGGATCAAAGGAACTAGTGGCAAGCTTGACAGCTTGACAGCTTGCAGGTAGATAAAAGGAGTCCGTAAACTTGGTGGAATTTATAACTAAAGGAGCTGTAAAAACATTTAGAATGCCAACTACAAGCATGCAATCTTAATTCCCGTCAATACTACTGTTTCTTCTTAGCTACCAAAGCATCCTAATCTTTGCAAGCAAGTAGCTAAAGAAGATTGCAAAAAGGGTTGCCACCATAAAAGTAACAAGACTAGTGTCCAACCAAGGATGAAGTAAATTCATAAAGCCAAAAACATAAATTGTTTCATTGATGATGCATGGTTACTGTGTAGACTGCAGCTACAGGCCCCATTTCAGTTTCATGCTAATGAACAACAATAACTGTAAATTAGAGGGTTGTGTATTTGTTCTTGTTGCCTTCTACTACTAAATCATGCATCTTCAAGTTTAAACAAACCAGCAATACCACATAAAGTCAAGCATCATTAACGCAGATTAACAGAATGTGATTAGAAAACCAAGCTCATAAAAGAAAGGTTCTTTTATATCTAACAAAGAGAGAGTCGTCCCCTTCTTTATACAAGATTATTCAGCTAGAAGGAGAGAAAAATGAATGAAGATTATGATAAAACTAAATTAGCCCTTCAAAGCAACTAATCTTTCATCACAAGTCACCGGGAAACCCTGCATTTATCAAATTCCAATTCCAAAAGAAACTGTGGTATTGTTGTGAACCACCAACTGTGTCACACAGTTACCAGCAATCAGCAACAAGAACTTGAAAAGCCTTGAAACTCTCCTTGCCGGCTACCCTCCCTTCACTACCTCTGCAGAAAATTAAGTTTCCAGAAAGTTAAGCTCCTATCAGCTGAAAAACAGATGATCTAATGGTTGCAGAGAAACAGTCAGGTATGACAGGTAAGAAAGCAACAATGGGGGAAAGTTGTTCAATTTAACATTCTTCATTACTGGAATCATGAACAAAAGAAAACCCAGATTCAAAAACTTCAGTTTCTGCATGTTTTCCAGTATTTTCCCCGCAACCAAACAACCAATAACAGCAATTGAATAAAGAACAGAGATATTTACCTTGCCGTTTTCAGCAGACTCTGGAACCTTATATGCTTCTGCTGAGACCTCCGTCAACCACAATCCCGGAAACAACGACTGCAGCCAAAGCCAATAAGAAGACACAAATAAATTAAATCCCAGAAAACCAAAACGAAAAGAAGGAACAATTTCAAATATTTCCAAGAAGCGAATTCGATAACAACGAACTCACATCCAATTGTTTCTGCACAGCCCTTGGCCGCTTCTTTGGCCGGCGGGGAGGCCTGTGCCTCAACATCTCCATGAAATCCTCTTCGATCTCTTTCTTAGACAGCGACACCGAGAATTTCGGTCTCTCCTTCTCCGCCGCCGCCACCACCGTTCCCTTTTCTCTTACTTTCGGAGACTTCATGATCTCATTCCTCATCGGAGAAGAATTGGCAGCATCATTCACTTTCCTCTCCTCAATTCTCAATCCCTTGTTGCTGTTATTGCTTGCTCCGGCAATCGGAGCCTTGCAGGCGGCACGCCTGGTCCGCAGATTCCACGGCCTCGCATCCACCTCAACGGCCGGCGATTGCTCCCTCTCTTTCTCTTGCGGTTTCTCTTTCTCAATCACTTTCTGTTCTGGTTCTTCCAATTCTTCGTCCTCACCGTCTGATACTTCCTCCCGCAACATCGCATCTTTCATCTTATCTGCCGCCGTCTTGAGATCCTTCATGATCTTCTCCCTCACTGCCTCGATCCCCTCAGCCTCTCCTTCATTCCTCAACTTCGATATCCTCAATCGCCGGTCCCTCAGGTTATGATTGTGACTCGGCGACTCCGACTCCCGGCGGCGGATTCCGGTGGCAATCGAGGTCTCCAACTTGGAAGGTGGGGATCGGCGGTACTGGTTCTGGTTACGTTGATCGGCGGCGGCGGCGGTGGAAGCGGTGTTCGACGCATCATCAACCTTCATGCACCTGAGGTGCTTCTGACTCCCCCACTTCAAGCACGGCAGCGTGAAATTGTGGAGAGGCTTCGATCTCTCAGGTCCCATCGCCATGAACTCGCGCACTCTTTCCTCCTCACCAGAATACACCATTGATCGCAAAACAGACTCTCCAAAGCAAACGACGCAGCTACTCTCAAAACCCTTCCCTCAAATTCCCTTCCATATCGCAATTTCTCTTCTTATTCCCGTTCGGCGTTTCTCCGGAGGTGGTGGGGGTGGATGTTCTACACAACTCGCCGGGAAACGTTGTGTTTTTATTTTGTGCGAGTGAGAGAGAGGGCGGTTTTAACGTTCGGGTTATGGAATTGTTAGGGTAAAATTGTAATTGCGTCTTTTGCAAAAGGGCAGGTTGCTAAAGTGCGCAGGGGTGGAACTGCGTCGGGATTTTGGTTTTCCCGGGTGATGCGTCGTTTTTGATAGATGGTTGGCATAACTACCGTTTGATAAGGGTAAATTTTTGTGCTCTCTTCTTTCTGCCGTTGATCTAGGTGAAAAAAAAAAAAGAAGAAAAATTTTAACATTTTTATGAACTTATTATTTATTTTTATTTTAAATTAGAAGGTACTTACTCATTTTTAAAAAATGGGAAGATAGTCTAGAATTTACAATTTATTCAAGAATTAAAAGTAAAGATAATTGTTTTAAGAATAATAATTTATGTCTTTTCCTTCTCTAACCTCTTCTCAGTGCTCTTAGTTTGTAAAAATGAAAGTTTTAATTTAAAATTTTAGATTTTTATTCATCAAGACTTAACGGAGTCATTAAGTGTATACATTGAATTTTTACATGTAAATTTAAATTTATCAAATACTTAGAATCTGACGTGTGACAAAATTACTAACCAATTACGACATGATATTTTTT